GGTCTTTATTTATACGTCCATGTTTCTGCTTTATTACAGTTGGGTATAAACACTAAGTATTCGCCAAGCCGTGAAGATTTTTCGTTGTCATTCTTTGTAAATTTAGCAGCAGGATTTGATCAGTAAGGTATAAGAGGATTCGGCGAATAAGTTGTATTTTTGAATTTTATTGACTTCCAAATAGAACAATAAGAAATCAAACGAAGAATAATCCTAGCAAACAAATGCTATTTTCGATTGAGTAGAATATAAGAAGCAGAACTTAAGCCAAAAACAAAAATAACATACACAAACCCTTTACAACCAGTGTTGACATACGGATCGGAGACATGGACCATTTCCAAGGCAGATGAAAACCTCCTGCTTATAATTGAACGAAGGATCCTGAGAAGAATATTCGGTGGCATGTGTGAAAATGGTGTTTGGAGAAGGAGGTACAACTATGAGATATATCACAGATATAAATATATATTTGGCGGTAAAGACGTAGTATCTCTTATAAAAAGTAGGAAGACTAAGATGGCAGGACATCTGGTAAGATCACAGCAGAACAACCCTCCTAGAAGAATCCTTATGTCACAACCTGTGGGAAGTAGAAGTAGGGGTAGGCCAAAACTCAGATGGGGGGATGGTGTAGATGAGGATAGTAGAAAAATAGGATAGAACGGACTGGCGTAATAGACTTGGGAAGGTCGAGGCTATAGCACCAATAATCATGATGACATAGAACAATAGCTTCTGCTAAGGTTCATAGCCATTAAATGTTTTTGTTACAGCTATTCACTGAATGCTTTTAATCGATTATGATCGATTCTATGTATTCCAGTCGTCAGAGGTTTGAACTCTAAAAATTATTGATAGAAAAAACATACCAGTTTTAACCGAAAACCGGTTTTTTACTTAGCAATAACCGGTTTTATCGGTTTTTTTTTGTCCCGATTATAACCGGTTTTTTATTTTTAACGTAAAAACCGGTTATTAGGTTTTTACGGTAATTAGGTTAGGTATTATTTTGGATCCCAATCATAATTATTATTCTCAAGTAATTATTCCAAACAAAACAATAATTCAAATTTTATTTGTGTTTATAATCGAAAACCGGTGTTTTGTCAAAAACCGCCATCCCTGCTAAAAATCATACGAATAAGCTGAATTTTGCCAAGAATGTCAATTTTCCCCCTGCCCCGGCTTCTTTCTAAAACCCCTACTCGTAGGTTGGTACAAACAAAACTTCTATTAGTAGGTTATTCAATGCTGATATTGCGTCATCTTCTTCAATAGGTTCTTTAAGATTGGTGTTCAGAATAACTTTTGCTTCGATACTACCCATTTGGTTATTTTGCTATGTGGGTATTTTTATGTAAAATTGTGGGTATTTTTCAATAAATTAGCTATATTTATTGTCGCTATTATCGGAAAAAAAATAAACGAATGGAGTATGAGAAGTATTTAACTGCAAAATTTAAAATATCTGGAGAGCATCTGGATACCTCAGTTAAACATTAAAAAACCATTCTTTTGTATCACACGTAATCATTTTATATCTTCCATGTGTATTACAATTGGCCCGTCGCCAAATTGCGGACAATCGTAATTTTTGCTTAAAACCACAGTAAACTAAACTTAATCTTTGTGTGAAAAACGATCATCGTTATTATGAAATATATTGAAATGAAACACACTTGTATAATATACACTCCTGAAAATAGACTCAGAATATTTAATGTTTTATGTGAGCGAAAACACATATGTATTTTATTACATATGTAAATCATTCATGCATTTTTCAAATATGTAATATATACCATAAAATTTATTTAAAACAGTTACAATGTAAAAATTGCTAGTATTATAATGTAATAAAGTAAGAATACGTCACAAAGAGGACTTCAAAATGGACACATTTAGGGCAAATAGTTTGAACAGAAATCTTCTTCATCTCTACTACAAGTCAGGAATAAAGTAGAATCTTCTTCATTTTAAAATTAATGGGAAAAAATCCCGTAATTGGCTGTATACCATCGTTTAAAAAAAACACAGAAGTTAAAACACTTCACACATGTGTATTGTGGTATAAAAACAAACAAATATTTAAAACTTTATAAAAGTGTCGTCAACATTTAAATTCTAGCAGAACGTTTTCAATCTGAAAAGATCATCCTCAGTGCCTTGTGTATTTGTTGCTAACAGTAAAGTTGTCTATAAGACCTCCATGTATGGATTTACAGTATTCCAAATTTTACATTTAATAATGTTTTGACTCCAGGTCGATGACAATGGATATATTTTTAAAATTACTTTAGGGACTACATGTCTCCTCTTTCATAGGGAATGAAAGTGTATGAAGTGTGAACTCTTCATACATATTCATTTGTATAGTCTTCTTCTTCTTCTACTGTTTGTAGATCTTTCGATCTGTTTAATTCTGAAGCTGCCTCTGGTTAATTTCTTGGGAGGTAGATTGCCAACTATCCCTCCATCTTTTAGGTGGTCTTCCGGGGGGTCTTGAACCGGGCGGATTGTTTTCTAGGGCAATTTTTGGGAGTCTATTCTCATCCATTCGTCTTACATGGTTGTACCACATCCTCTTGCGCTGCCTTCCCCATCTTACAATATCTTGAATTTTGCACTGCTCTCTAATGTTTGTATTTCTCACTCTGTCTCTTCTTGTTTTCCCCATTATTGTTCTTAGGGTTTTCATTTCGGCAACCCTTAGCATATGTTTCGTTTTGTTAGTATCTTCGCGCACTTCTATGCCATATGTCATGATCGGTCGTATGCAAGTCTTATAGATTCTAATTTTACTATCTGTGCGCATATACGGATTTGACCAGACTATCTCCCGCAGACATCCTGACAGTGCAGATGCTTTGTTGATCTGACTCCTCAGGTCCTTTACTGGGTCGTGGGTGCTTGATATATCTATGCCCAGATATCTGAATTGCATCACCTGTTCTATGGGGTTGTCCTCAACCACTAACTTACATCTGAGCGGATCTTTTGCTATTGTCATACATTTAGTTTTGTTGGTAGAGATGTTCATATTTAGTAGTCGGCTTGTTTGAAAGAACTGAAAGAGCTGCCTTTGGAGATCATCTTCTGATTCGGCAATAATTGCTGCATCGTCTGCGTAACACACCATACCAATTCTTTTGTTGCCCATTCTATATCCGAGATTAAGAGATGTTACTTTGTTGATAATTTTGCCCATGAGAAGATTAAACAAGAAGGGGCTTAAACTGTCGCCTTGTCTAATTCCTCCCGGTGTTGGAATATTTTCAGTGAATTCGTCTCCTGCTCTAACTTTGGTTACGTCGTTGTTATTTAGGTTATGGAGTATCTTTGTTATATTTGTATAGTACCACATCAATACCTTTCATTTTCTACCTTTATCATTTTCTCACCACTTATGATGTCATCAATTCAACCTCAAACATTAATCCCATTAAATTGATAGTTGAATCTAATTAAATTGATGTTTGAGCATTAGAATTTACATACTCAGACGTGGTTTTAAATCTGAACGATTTTTATCAGAAAAAACAAAAGTAGTGTCATCTGCAACTAAAACTGTTTTAAATGGAGCCATGAAATTGGGCAAGTCATTCACATATATAATAAATAATAAAGGGCCCAGAACTGATCCTTGTGGAACTCCATGTTTTATCTTCTTAAATTAAATTCAAATTACCATGGATGCAACTGATGAAGACATTTTAGAAATCATTGAAGAAGTCCCTGAAACAAGTACAAAGGTAATAGCTGCTCAAATAAATGTTCCTCAGGTAAGGGTTTGAGGCGTTTCAAGGATCTGCTGCTTAAACCCTATCACTTAACAACGGTTGAAGAGTTATTGGTTGAAAATTATCCTAAAGGATCGGATTTTGCTTATTGTTGTTAATGGAAAAACTCGAAATGTTAGATTTTATTAGAAATATTTTGTTTACCGACAAGGCTACTTCGGTTTACATAACGAGCACATTTTGGGCCGACGAAAATCCTCACCCCAAAAACACGACTCATCATCAAAGGACTTTCAAAGTTAATGTTTGGGCAGGAATTGTGGATAACAATCTAATAGGCTCAGTATTTCTTCCTAACAATTTAAATGGTGATAATTATTAGCAGTTCTTGGCAAACGATTTACAAGAGTATTTGGAAGAAGTGAATATTGCAATAGGGCAAAATGTGGTTTCTACAAAGATGGCGCTCCACCGCATTACAGGCAACTATTCTTGGCCAACCCAGAAGTCCAGGTCTTAACCCCATGGACTTTTGATTTTGGAGTTTATGAAACAGAAAGTGTATTCTGTAAAAATAGAGGACGAACAAAAATTGAGGGTTAGAAAAGTAAAGCTGCAAATCAATGTCGTCAGACAAATATGATTTTTTGCGCATTCGGTTTTCCTTATTAAAACGATACCGAACGTGTATTGAACAAAATGGGGGTCATTTTGAACATTTATTAAAAGCAATAATAGTCAAAAAAATAAGGTGTAAACAACGGGTAACCGAACACAGTATTTGAGCACAAGTATGCTACGTACATAGCATAAGTGATATTATTCTCAACTTTGGCTAATCTAATTTCTATCTTCATTATTTTTATTTAGTTACCCAAAAATTGTTGGTTTTTGGAGCTGTGTAAATCCATTTTTTTTAAGAAGTTATAAGAATATCACACCTAACCATGATACTTAACCGTCTCAATGGGTTATTCGTTACTATATAAATGTAACTTTAGAATAAAACAGCAAAAACTTATATATACAATATTTGTATGTTTCATGATATTATTTATTATTAATTTCCATGTAATAAACCCCAATTCCATAAATATAAAAACTTTAATGAACAATTTAATGTAGTTATATAGATATATAAAATAAATATTTCAATTTTTAAATGACTGATGAGTTAAAGTGATTTGAAAGCACATGTTTATTCAAAACTTGTATCCCTAAAAAATTATAAAAGCCATTATCAACGAATTATTTCAGGACGAGTTGGAACGTACAGAAAATCTGCCAAAACCGATGTTACCGATCGAGATGATCAACAAATTATTACTAAAGATGGCTACACGACAGGAGGACCTGGAGTTACTAACCAGCAAGCTACATTCGGCTCAAAAGGTGGTCCTCAACAACCACTAGACGCAAACGAACTACCTATAGGTGATGAATCATTACCTTGGAGACAAAAAGTAATTCGTAAAACGTACCGAAAAGACTCAACAAGTTTACAAAAAACATTGGTGGAGCAAAAAACGCAGGCTCAACCTTGGACAGAGGAACAAATAGTTTTAAAGAAAACCAAAATAGAAAGAAAAGAAATTCAACGAGAAAAATTAGAAGATGTATCATTAAAACCTTTAATGCAACCCTTTACAGAAACTGACGATACATCTCTATTATCTCTATCAGAAAGTGAAAGAGAAAAAATTAGTCAGCAAGAAGCTTTAGTTAAGAAAGAATGGCGCAAAGAACGTAGGCCTGAACAACACTTGCAACAACACTTAGAAACTGAAGACACTACAACCCTTTCCTTAAGCGAACACGAAAAAGTTCAAGCCGATCAAAAGCTCACAGAACGAGACTGGCGGCGTCAAAAACAAACTCTTGAAAAGAAAGTACATGAAGAAGACACAACTCTATTAAAATTAGACGAGCGAACAATGGAAACAAGTCAACAAGATACAGCAACCAAAGATTGGCGCAAACGTAGAGATAGAGGAGAGGAAAAAATTAAAGAAGATTTAATAAAGGAAACTCAAAATCTGGAAACTGAAGAGAAAGTTCCACAGGAACCAATTCCCTGGAATCAACAAGAAATTTTATTAAAGAAAACACCTCGACAACGTAAGGAAGTTCAAAAAGAGACTTTGGAAGAAGTAACCCTTAAACCATTCAGGAGAGAATCTGTAACTAGTCAGACAGTTGAAGAAACAACTACTGTCACTACGCAAAGACAACCTGATAAAGTACACACTGAAGAATCAAGTCTATTAAAGTTAACTGACACTGAAAGAATTGAAGAAACTAGAAAACAAGAAACGAGAGGTTGGCGTAAGCCTAGAGAAGAAACTAAACCAGTGGACAAACAGCTGGTTACTGAAGACACAACTATCTTAAGAATAGATGAAAATCAGAACGTACTAGAGGTGCAACAGGGTGAATCTCGTAGTTGGAGGAAACCTAAGGAAGTAAAACCAAGCGAGCAACCAGAAGACGAAAAGCCCAAAGTAGATGAGCAAAAGCCTGAACCAGTGCCGTGGAATAAAGAACAAATCACTCTTAAGAAAACTCAGATTACTAGAAAAGAACAAACCAAGGAAAGCTTAGAACAGGTAGGTTTAAAACCAACGAGGAAAACAGTACCAGAAGAGCACGTAGAAGACAAACAAATTTTGACTCTTAAAGACGACGTAGAAGAAAAACAAGTTAAACAACCTGAAACACAACAGTGGAGAAAACCCAAACAACCTGAAGAAAAACCTATAATAGAAGACAAAGATGTACTGACCGTCACAGAAGAAACTAAGCCAGAACAACAAATTCCAGAAGAGAAACTTATTCCTTGGAATAAACAAAAAATTGAATTGAAGAAAACTCGAAAGGAGGTCAAGCATATACAGGAAGATAAAGTTGAAGAAGTGCAACTGAAACCAATTCGAAAGATTCATACGGAAGAAGAAGAAATAATTACTGAAGAAATCCAAGATCAAGACGGCAAGCAGAAAATAATTAAAAAGAGTGTATTAAAGGATCAAAAAAGTATAGAAAAAGATGAAACAAAAACAATACAAAGTTTAAAACCAGATGAGAAAGTAACAGAATATTCAGAAGTAACTCAAGTAACATCTGAAACTAAATCTTGGAGACAACCAAAGAAACAAAAACCCGAAGAAAAAGAAGATCAGCCAGATAAACCAATTTATAAAGTTACAGAAGAAGAGACTATACTGCAACAACCGGAAGAAGAGATAGTACCATGGAAAAATCGAGCTATTGTTCTTAAGAAAACAAAAATTGAAAGAAAAGAACAGAAAAAAGAAGAAGTGGAAAAAGTTGAGCTGAAACCATTCAAGAAACAACATATCGAAGATGAAGAATTTATTAGTGATGATCTAGAGAAAGAACCAACAAGACCAGTAGAAGAACATAAAGAGGAAATTGTAGAAACACAAGTAGTTGAAACTAAAGGTTGGCGTAAACAAAGACAACCTCTTAAACCAGAATTTAAGGACGACAAGCCAGAAGCAGAGGGCGTAGAAGATACGCCTAGCCAAGTATATCAAGTAACAGAGGAAGATATAATTCCACAAAAGCCTAAAGAAGAGATGATTCCATGGAATAAGCAAGAAATTACGTTAAAACGAACTAAAGTTGAGAAGAAAGAACAGGTGAAAGAAGAATTAGAAAAAGTGGACCTAAAACCGCATAAGAAACAACAAGTAGAAGAAAAAACCATTATAAAGGATGTTATTGAAGACAAAGTAGAGGATGTAGATGTCACTACAGGTAAAAAGATAATTAAAAAGGTTAAGAAAGACAAAACTTTCGAAGAAAAAGACACAAAAATAGAAGAAGAAGAAAAACCGCAATATATGGCGAAAGAAACAGATGTTAAACCTAAAGATTCCACAATCGAAAAAGTTGATGAAGTCAAACAAGCTGATACTAGATCTTGGCGGAAACCAAAGAAACCAATTCAACCAGAAGTTGAAGAACAGAAACCTGAAAGTGGCACTGTAGAACAACCAAACGAAGTTTATGAGGTAAAAGAAGAAGAAATTGTTCCCCAAAAACCTAAAGAAGAAATAATTCCTTGGAATAAGCAAGAAATTACATTAAAACGAACTAAGGTTGTGAAGAAAGAACAGACGAAAGAAGAGTTAGAAACAGTAGATCTAAAACCACATAAGAAGCAACATATAGAAGAAGAAACCATTATAAAGGATGTTATTGAAGACAAAGTAGAGGATGTAGATGTCACTACAGGTAAAAAGATAATTAAAAAGGTTAAGAAAGACAAAACTTTCGAAGAGAAAGACATAAAAATAGAAGAAGAAGAAAAACCGCAGTATGTAGCGAAAGAAATAGAGGTTAAGCCTGAAGATTCCACAATCGAAAAAGTTGATGAAATCAAACAACCTGATACTAGATCTTGGCGGAAACCAAAGAAACCAATTCAACCAGAAGCTGAAGAACAGAAACCTGAAAGTGGCATTGTAGAACAACCAAAGGAAGTTTATGAGGTAAAGGAAGAAGAAATTGTTCTCAAAAACCTAAAGAAGAAATAGTTCCTTGGAATAAGCAAGAAATTACATTAAAACGAACGAAGGTTGTGAAGAAAGAACAGACGAAAGAAGAGTTAGAAACAGTAGATCTAAAACCACATAAGAAGCAACATATAGAAGAAGAAACCATTATAAAGGATGTTATTGAAGACAAAGTAGAGGATGTAGATGTCACTACAGGTAAAAAGATAATTAAAAAGGTTAAGAAAGACAAAACTTTCGAAGAGAAAGACATAAAAATAGAAGAAGAACAAAAACCGCAGTATGTAGCGAAAGAAATAGAGGTTAAGCCTGAAGATTCCACAATCGAAAAAGTTGATGAAATCAAACAACCTGATACTAGATCTTGGCGGAAACCAAAGAAACCAATTCAACCAGAAGTTGAAGAACAGAAACCTGAAAGTGGCACTGTAGAACAACCAAAGGAAGTTTATGAGGTAAAGGAAGAAGAAATTGTTCCTCAAAAACCTAAAGAAGAAATAATTCCTTGGAATAAGCAAGAAATTACATTAAAACGAACTAAGGTTGTGAAGAAAGAACAGACGAAAGAAGAGTTAGAAACAGTAGATCTAAAACCACATAAGAAGCAACATATAGAAGAAGAAACCATTATAAAGGATGTTATTGAAGACAAAGTAGAGGATGTAGATGTCACTACAGGTAAGAAGGTAATTAAAAAGGTTAAGAAAGACAAAAAATTCGAAGAGAAAGACATAAAAATAGAAGAAGAAGAAAAACCGCAATATGTAGCGAAAGAAATAGATGTTAAACCTGAAGATTCAACAATAGAAAAAGTTGATGAAATCAAACAACCTGATACAGATCTTGGCGGAAACCAAAGAAACCAATTCAACCAGAAGTTGAAGAACAGAAGCCTGAAAGTGGCACTAAAGAACAGCCAAAGGAAGTTTATGAGGTAAAGGAAGAAGAAATTGTTCCTCAAAAACCTAAAGAAGAAATAATTCCTTGGAATAAACAAGAAATTACATTAAAACGAACTAAGGTTGTGAAGAAAGAACAGACGAAAGAAGAGTTAGAAACAGTAGATCTAAAACCACATAAGAAGCAACATATAGAAGAAGAAACCATTATAAAGGATGTTATTGAAGACAAAGTAGAGGATGTAGATGTCACTACAGATAAGAAGGTAATTAAAAAGGTTAAGAAAGACAAAAAATTCGAAGAGAAAGACATAAAAATAGAAGAAGAAGAAAAACCGCAGTATGTAGCGAAAGAAATAGAGGTTAAGCCTGAAGATTCCACAATCGAAAAAGTTGATGAAATCAAACAACCTGATACTAGATCTTGGCGGAAACCAAAGAAACCAATTCAACCAGAAGCTGAAGAACAGAAACCTGAAAGTGGCATTGTAGAACAACCAAAGGATGTTTTTGAAGCCAAAGAAGAAGAGACTATCTTCGAAAAGCCCAAAGAAGAATTAATTCCTTGGAACAAGCAGCAGATTATACTAAAAAGAACAAAGAAAGAAAAGAAAGAACAAGTCAAAGATGAGTTAGAAACTGTTGAATTAAAAGCAATCAAAAAACCTGAAGAAGAGGAAGTTGTTAAAGATGAAGGAGTAATATTAGAAACTCCTGAACAGGACACTGAATTGGAAAAAGAAAAGGGCGTTAAAAAGGTTAAAAAAGAAAAGAAAATTAAAGAGAAACGTGATGAAATTGACGAGATAGAAAAACCAAAAGAAGTAGCCGATGAAGTTACATATGAATCCAAGGAAGCAACAGTTGTGGAAATACCAGAATCAAAAGAATCTGAAACAAAATCTTGGCGGAAACCGAAAAAGACAGAAACGTATGAAGAAGTTTCTCCAGAAAAGCCAGAAATATCAGAAACCAAACCATCAGAAATTTATCAAGTATTGGAAGAAGAATCTCTTTTAAAAGAGACACAAGAAGAAATTATTCCATGGAATAAAGAAGCTATTACACTCAAACGTACTAAGGTAGATAGAAAAGAACCTGTTAAAGATGAATTGGAAAAAGTTGAACTTAAACCACTTAAGAAAAAACCTATCGAAGAAACTGTTAAGTCTTCTTCATCAGAAGAAGAAAAGGAAGAAGAATTAGAACAGATAATTGATCAAACGAAACAAAAAACAAAACAGAAAAGAAGGAGAAAACCCAAAACAGAAAAACAAAAGGAAACAGTTGAAGTTTCCGAGGAAAAGGAAACGCAACCTGAGGAGATCAAATCAGACGAAATAAAAACTCCAGAATCAATTATTATTGAAACTGTTACTGAAGTTGAAGATACTGTGGTTCTAAAAGTAGATGACAAGGAAAAACCCAAACCAAAGACTGCTAAGAAATTCCAAAAAGAAGAAATTACACCTGAAGAAGTGAAACTGAAACCTGTTGAAAGGCGAGAAATTCCAGAAGAAAAGGAATTAAGTGAAATAGATCAAATTAGTCTAAAACCAATACCTCACGAAGAAATACAAGTTGAAGAAAAACGTGAAAAGAAAATAAAACCTAAGAAGCCGGTAAAATATGAGGATATGCCAGAAATTGAAGAGGGAGAAAAATATGTTCCTGAAGTGTCCGAAAAAGTTGAGTTTGAACAAAAACCAAAAGAAGCTATTGAAACACAACCTACACCTTGGCGTCGTCAAGAAAAACCAAAGAAAGAAGTGGTGGAAGAAGAAAAGATAACATTAAAGATTGGAAAGGGTAAAATACCAAAAGAAGAAGAAATCAAAGAAGAAGTTACACTTAAACCTATTAAAAAGTCTCCAAAAGAAAGTGAAGAAATTTCTGAAGTATCTAAACCAAAACAAATACCAAAATCTGATATTCAGCCTAAAGAATACGAGAAGATAGATTTTGATGTTGCTCCTAAAGTGATTGAAGAAAAACAACAAATTGTAGATATGAAACCAGTCACTATATCAGAAGAAATTCGCGAAGCAGAACCTGTGCCAGAAGAGCCTAAAGCTCCTTGGAGAAGAACTCCAAAAGAAAAACCGAAAGAAATTGAAGAAACAAAAGATATGCCAAAGGGCAAAAGGAAGCCTCTTCCTGAAGAAGAAAAGGAAGAAATCAAACTTAAGCCAATCTCTAAAGAAAAACCAGAAATGCCAGAGTACAAAACAGAGATAGAAGAAGTAAAACGAGAATCAGCAGAGTTTATAGAAATAAAGGAATATGATGATCAAATTAAAATAGAACCAGTTGATAAGAAAACGAAGAAAGATAAGAAAACACGACCTAAACCAAAGGAAGAAGGCAAACCAGAATTTATAACTGATGAAGAAACTAAAGAGTTCCAAACAACTACAGTTGAGGAAATTTTAGAAGAAAAAATACAGGAGTTGGTTCCTGAAAAAGCTAAGGATGAAGTAATTGAAGCTCCGGAAGAAACGAAAGTAATTTCTGAAACGGAAATTAAACTTGTAGAAAAGAAAGCTTCTGTTAAACCGATGGAAGTTGAAGAAAAGCAGCCAACTGAAGAGACTGAGCAGGTCACATATCAAAAAGATATGACCGTTCAAAT